AAAAAAGAGAAGCTATGTACATATATAGTCTTTCTGAACTTTTGGCCTTGTTTTGTATGATACAGCTTGAAAGAATTTCTAGCTATTTTGACTCTGTAATCAGAATTTCTAGCTATTTTGACTCTGTAATCAGAATTGTCAAGATTTTTATTGTGGAAGAGAAACCTTATCTCAGCTGAAGCAGAAATCAGTAAGACAGTAGTAGTAAATGAAAGAATACATTTTAAAAGGATTTATCAGAAGTCTAGAATCCACAAGCTTAGAAAATAAAAAAAGTCCCACGAGACACTGACCAATGGAAAACACTTGGGAACCAAGAAAGTCACCATATTTCATAGTATGTAAGAAAACAATGATCATAAAAGATTATTTTCTTTGTACCAGTAAGATGGGGAAAGCTCTTTTTAACGGTGTAACTATAATAGATCTCATTAATAGTTGCTCTGCCTGATAAGTGGATGTTTGAATTGGTCACCTTAGCCCCGTGTTACTTTGCTGTTTTACATCTTTTTTAGGTTTAATGGCTTTGTTTCTGAAGAGTAAATGAGAGCATGGATATGTGCATGTATACAAGACTGTTGAGGCGAAGGGCAGCACTGGTCTAGATTACATAAGGAGACAACAGATTCAAATGAGGTTTTCCAAAAGTTTGGAGAGACTTTTCTTTCATTTTGTAGACCACAAAGGAGCATCGGCAGTTTATTTGAAAGAGGGGTAATTTGCGAAGAACAGATGTCTAAGGAGGTGATGGGCAAGGATGGTGAGATTTAGAATGAGGAAGGAGTGAGAGCCATTTAAAAATAGGAATGGAGACACTTGGTGGGTAGTCATGCTTTGGAATACCTGCTAGGCACTGGAGGTGGCACTAAGATGACTGAGCGATGATCTCCTCCAATAAGGATGTCACGGGTTATATAAAGGAGAATCTGATATAAAAACCTAACATTGAAACTGTGATATAAAATTAATGTGGGTACAAAGTGCTTTGGCAGCATAAAATATTGTCAAAGTGTGCATAATATAATTGAATGATGGGTTGTTAAAAGATTTGTAAGAGCCCCCCAATAAACTGAATGATTTTTTTAAAAGGAGAGAGAGTGTAAAAGTATGATTCTTGAAAGGAAAATTTTGTCATTCTCACCTTTTGACTACCAGATGTAACTTTTATTGGAAAGGAAACAGTTTATGATTGATCACTTGATCTTATATGTGATCAGTTGATTTTAGCCAAGATTACCAAGCCTATTCAATTGGGAAACCTAAACTCACTGCCATAGAATTGATTCCGATACCTTGCCCTATAGGATGGAGTAGAACTGCTTAGGGTTTCCAAGACTTCTTCTTTATGGGACTCTCACAAAGACAGCTTACTGAGTTTAAACTGTTGACTGCCTGTAACTGCTCCAGGCTTAATCCCTGCATCATCATGCTCCGTTCAATGGGGAAAGGACAGGTATTAAAATAAATGATGCTGGGAAAACTGTGGATATCGGTGTGTGGGATATGTATGTATGTGGGATCCATATGTATGTGGATATCCATATCCACATACAAAAGAATGAAATTGAACCTTTATTGTATTTCTTTTTTTTCCTTTATCGTGTTTCATATACAAAAATCAACCCAAAATTATTCCAAGAGCTAAAAGTATAAGAAAATATGACCTTGGGTGTGACCATTGTTTCTTTAGACATGACACAAAAAGCATAGGTAGCATAGAAAAAAAAATAGAGGTGAATGTTGTTAAAATGTAAACCTTGTGTATCAAAAGTCACTATCTGATACAATTATCAAGAGATGAAAAAATAGCAAATCATATATCTAATAAAAGATTAATATTCAGACTATTAAGAACTGTTATATCAACATTTACATAAAATTTTACGTCATCAACTAAAACACAAAACAACCCACTTAAAAAACAGGCAAAAGGCTGGAATAGATATGTATCCTCAAAAGACACAAAAGTGGCAATAAACACATGAAAAAGTATTGAACATTATTAGTTAGTAGGGGCATGCAAATGAAAATTTTAAAAACCACAAAGAGATATCACTTCATGCTTTCTAGGGCGGCTGTTATCAAAATAACAAGTGTTGATGAGAAGGCGGAGAACTTGAACCTGTCATCTATGGTTTTTGGAAATGTAAAATGATGTGGCCACTATAGATAGACTGCAGTCTGGTGGTTCCTGAAACATAGAAATACCATAGAAGTTGTACTCCTTAGTATGTACCTGTGTTAGACTGGGTTTTTTGGAGAAGCAAAACCAGTGGTTTTATCTATAATTCGTTCCCCTGATGATGTCTCCAAAGCAAATGAGTAGGACAGCTCCCTGATCCGTAAGGGGATCATAGGAACATCTACTGAAAAATCTATCACGTTTACCCAACAGGCTTGAAAGCAGGAGCTCAACAGATATGTGTGCATTAATGTTTATTGCATCATTATTCAGAATAGCTAAGAGTTGGAAACAACCCAAGTGTCCATCAGTTGATAAAAGGGTTTTTCAAAAAGCACTATATACACCCATAAAACAATAAAGTTCTGATACATGTTTTAATACCGATAGACTTTGAAGTCATTTTATTAAGTGAACACTAAGCCAGGCATGAAA